AACCTAAACGAGGGACACCGGGGGCAACAATATTTACTCAGACTTCATTACAGCCGCATGCACACACATGTACACAGAGGTTTAACCTAAACCAAACTTTGACCTCTCCACACCCTCGGCTCTGTTACCCAAGCCCACTTCTATCCTTCACTCTGCATGCCATCCAATAATGTCAACTACGAGGTCCTGTCAGGCTGTTTTTAAACACAAGGACAGAGACTCAATTACAGCAGAATGGCTTTCAGGAGTCATCCTCCATCCCGAGACACACACACCTGCTAATGGTTGTCAGATTTGCTGGCAAAAGGGCCAAAGGTCAAACCAATCTGCGTTCCGCAACAATCAGCGGCTTCCACTGGCCTCTGTTGTTAACATCACTCGTTTAAGAGGACATACACACCAACACACACATACAGTTTGTGCTCAGCAACAAGAGGAAGTCTGTGATTTTTAAAACAAATCATGTCCAAAAGTGGCAAATTTAAAAAAAAAAAAAAAAATTCTGATTCATCCTGTGTCCTGACTTAAATTTAAAGAGACACCAGAGGGAAAAAGGAACAACCCCTAAAGCATATCAGCTTTTGTGGTGCTCCTGACTGTTCTTCTCCATTTGCTATGACCAGCAACATTAACACTGGGATTGGAAATTAACGGCAGTCACCAGCAAAATGCTGTAGAGTTTTTCCTGCAGCTGATTTTATCTAGAAGCACATTTGCAGAAAATTCTACTTTTCCTATGTTGAGCTTGATGTACTAAGGGGTCCCACAGTCTGAGGTCCATAGGGTCCAACACTCCACTGTATTTATCAGGTTAAACTGTCAGATGAAGTCAAGGTTCCACCAGCCAGCAGTCGGTGGGCAATAAAAGTCTTACTGGCGTGACAAATGCTTTTATCAGTCTATTATAACCACATGTGTGTAACTTGTGTGTGCTTCATGTATCTGTTTCTCTGCACCCAACTGTTCTCTGGCGAACATACAAAAGAACTCAAAATAACGCTGAGGGGTTGAGGGGGACATCAATCTGTGGTGGACCCTCGCCTGTGTAATTCTAAACCTTCACCTTCCTCTTAATACCCATCATCCCCCCCTTAATACCCACACATACCAGGACAGAGGAGGGCCACAACAAATGGTCCCCCGACAAAGGGCAGAGTTCGGCCAGTAGCACTTGTGCGCACACATGGATGAGCATTCACTGTCACACACACACACCAACACACGGATAGTTAGAAGATATACTCAAGAAACACACAGAGGAGTCGGGCTGGGGGACTGATAAGTGGGGGCTTTCCCCCTCTTAACTTGGCAAATCTGATCAGAAGAACCACAGCCAAGGGTCTGTCATCCCCCTCTAAGCCTCCTCATCTAAACCCTCCCCGGGCTGAGAAACCACTGTGGCCCCTGGCCTGACCCGCCCTGCCACTGGGGGTTAGGCCTCAATTTAAAATGAGAGTGAGAGAAAGGTGAGAGCTAAGCCAATCAATAAATACACAGAACACATGCACATTCACCCGAAACCCTCGTCCAAACAGATTACGGGAACGCGTTGAGTGGCGGGAGGGTGGATTTACACTGCACACCGAGTAGCAGTCAGTGTACGTGTTACAATTGCAAAAATAAAAAGCCTCCTAAATCATGACATGAAAGTTGAGTGCAAATGTGACGATTAAAATGGGGGCGGGGGTGCAAACAGCAATACCCACAAATACACTAGAAACCCCGCTATAAATGCCAGCTGGCCTTTCTGGCTTGCTGCAGTCGGAAACTACCAAGAACTACTTGGCTTACGGCCATTTCACTTTAAAGCTCGACACAAATTCAATAAAGCTGCTCCAATTTGTTCAAACTATTGCTTGCACCATACCACTCGTCGCTTTGCCCAGGCTAGCCAGTGTACTTGTGGTCAGCGTGTGACACCTCATGTGCAGGGGACACTTCCTGCCAAGTTTTATAAGAGTTATTTTTTAGTTTTATTATTCCAGATAAGCAAAAGTCTTTTGTAACTTCAAAGCAGGATCCGATACATTACTTACATTAACTGAAATATAATGTAAAAAAAATTCTTAATACCGTTTTAAACAGTCGTGAGTAACTGAATTTGACCAACTGGATCACAGCCATTTGGAAATTTTGATTTAATTTGAGGGTTTTAGTTGTTTTTGTAGAATTTTTATCAAAAACAAATGCAGACTTTCAAGAGTACTCAATTACTTCAACAACATATCTTATTTACTGTGGGACTCCCTGGTCGTGTTGATGCAGTGATCTCCCCAAACATACAACCTGCAGTAAAAATAGACGTGTTCTTTGATCATAGATACAAAGTAAACAAAACACTAAGATCGTGCAACGTGGGAAATCCTGCCACCTCAGCAAGTGAAGGTCTATGCTATGTGCTCAGCACCCTGTGGCTTCAGATCTGACTGATGACCTTTTGATGCAGGTCTCCCCAGTCTTTCATGTCACTCGCCACTGTATGCCATGTACTGAGACAGTAAAGTCCTAATAAAATACAATCCAATTTGTTTACTGTCCCTTCAGCACACTGGGTAACCTAAGAAGGCTGAGAAACCAAATCAAAGCAGTGCAGACCATCAGCAGGTTTTAAAAAGAGCAGCTTTAAATCAACTCATTTCCAACAAAACCTCAGGACAAGGCTAGTGATATTATGTACCACATAAATACTGACTGGAGCTCAAATATTCCGCAATAAATATGTAATAAATATGTATTCCTGTTTGAGCAACATTTGCCAAAACCAGGGTTTGGCAGTGTTAGAGAATTATTTGGCTTTTTTAAAATGATATTATTAAGAAATATTTGTGGCTTGTTTTCAAAGAAACAGACTCCGTCTAGTTTTGTTCATCTAATGGGATTTATTGAGGATTTATTGACATAATGATGATGATAAAAATGAATAATGTCGTCAACCTTATGCTTTAAAATAAAACTTCTCATTTCAGTATTTAAATAGAATCTAAACAGCTATTATCTATTTTGAATGTTTTGGTTTTGGTTCCAGTTCCTCTTTTTTTTTTTTTTTATCATTCACTTTTTTAATTTCTGTAATTTACTATATTATGTAAATCACTATATTGCAATTTTTCACAAAACAATGAGTATCACTTTATTAGTTTTTATGCGATGTATGGTGCAAACACTGTTGTCAGTTAAGAATATATGAGAGACAATGAGGTAAATATCGGACTTTTGATCCCAAACTGCTGCCACTTGGCTACAGAACACTTGAACTATGTTACAACAGCTATTTGAAGAAATTTCAGTTAAAGTTTTACAAAGATTAATTCATTAAGAAATTTTTGGAGATGGTAGTTGTACCTCGCTACATATATGCTGATTTCTTCCTTAAGTGGAGTTTTTATTGACATAAGAATGAGTGAAAATGGAATTATATTTCATTATGGCCTGCTTTGTTTAAAATAAGAAATGCAGCCTTGAATTAGCTGCCCAAATTATTTGGTTAAACACAACTGCACACAACTTTAAAAGTGCAATAATGGCACCATTTCAGACAGTGGAAGTGTAGCCTACTTCTTGTCTGAGACCAGTGATGCTTCCTGGGTGAAAAAAAGCATAGAGGAGGTAAAATGTAATTAACCCATCTACCTCTGGCAGTTGACAAAGATATAAGCAGTATGTCTGGAGGGGGAGAAACTCCCACCTGTACCAGCAAATCAAGTACACACCTTTTACAATGTAGCTCTGTCAGCCAAACAAGCGTGACTTGAGGCACAAACCGACTGACAAAACAACAAACACACACACTGAGTTACTGCCCTGCCCTCTATTAGGGAACACAATGAGTGTGTAAGGGGATCTTAATGAAGTACTCCCCTGAGGCAAAGCCCGACGCCTCTGTTGAGGATGTGTACTGTTAGAGCTCATTAAATGAACATGAGTACTACCACTGACATGGTGGGAGAGAGAGTGTGTGTGTGTGGTGTTCAGTTACAATACCAGATTTAGCCGTTTATGTCATGCAGTACACATGCAGCTTTGCACCAATTTATTGAGCGTGCACGCCCATGTTGTTCCATTTGTGTGTGTTGAACGAAGTCATTACACAATCAGACTTTACATGGGGTGAGCGAGAGTTTCATGTGTGTGCCTGTGGCATTTTGTTACTGGAAAATACTTACACAGGACTATTGATATCACAGACACTGCAGCAGGACTCTTGTTCTGACAAAATGAACTTGAAGGAATAATCATATTTAGAACGAGGAAGGGCACAGGGTGAGAGAGAACGAGATAATTTTGTAGAGAGAAAGGATGACAAATGTGAGACAGGAGAAAACCAAAAAAGAAACAGAAGATGAGAAAAAAAGTCTGAAACAAAATGGAATAGAGGGAGGAGCGGTGCTCATGTGGAATTTAATGTAGCAGTGCCCTCTTGTGGATGAAAATTGCAGTATTTGAACTTATACTGCATTCTCCTGTTGGCACGCAGTCCACTCTGAAGACTAGAATTTAAATCACGAAAGGACTGTTGGGCTTCTTCTGTTTTCAGCGAGTCTGAGTCTGTTTTGTGTCTTTGTATGCCCTTGCTTTCTCGCTCTGTGTGTACCTTATGAAATTTACCAGTTGTGTTTAACCATAAGCTTCTTTTAGTTCAGTTTATTACTTCTGCCAAGAAGGTTGTTTTCACTCGTGTCTTTCTATTTGTCTGCAGGATTACACAAAAAGTTCAGGACCAATTTTCCCTGAACTTGGTGGAGAGATGGGACATGGACCAGGGACAAACCCATTAAATTTTGGGGCAGATCCAGATCATTTGCTATGAATTAGATTTTTTTTCTCTGAGGTTTGGTGTATGTTGTTTGACATTGGTCAGTGCCTTTGTAGTTTGAACCTGTATTAGTTATCAGCTGACATAGCTACATTGTAACAGCTGTGACAGCTAAAACTTTGTGTGTCTGTAAAGGCTCATTAAAGTGTCATTAAAGTGTGTATGTATATATAAGTGCTTGACTCACCTCTCTACCCTTGTGTGTGACCAGAGCAGCAAGCGGCTTGGCATAGAATCGACTGTAGCTGAATCCCAGGCAGCCGTACATACTGTTAGCAGTCAGCTTCAGAGCCTTCTGACGGATGTCATACTGAGGAACAACCAGACTTAAATTAGGCCAAACAGATACAAGCATTTGCACATTTTAAAATTATAATCAAAATACAACGTAACTACGCTTTTATAGGATAAAAATTGTGTTAAGGTAAATGAAAATGGTTGACCATTTTGTCAGAGAGCATCAAGGCGCCTACTAAACATCTTTTTAAATTACTCTGTCCATCTGTGCGCTCAGTATGTTCCAAACACTCGTTTCATCAATATGTGCTTAAATAAATATGCTCCTCGCTGCACAGCATTGAAATTTCAAAGAGAACAACAGTGCAACACAAAGTATTTTTATCCATATTTTGGGAAAACAATGACTGGAACATAAAAAAAAAACATACAGATAGACCGAGAAGAAGTCAGTTACGCTGCAGCACTGGTTTGAGAAGTTTCTGTGAATGTTATGAAATGTTTTTCCACCATTAAAAAAATAAACAACCGTAGTCTTTGTAAATGGCATTGCTTTAAACTGATTAGAACTTACAGGAGGCTTACAGCAGGCTACAAACTTTTTATAGCCTCCTTTCAAGCATCCGAGGAGCGAGTGTAATATATAATAATCAAAAGATTTTGCGAGGAGTATTCCCTCTAACTGATACTCCATATGACAATAGCACTGAACAGGAAAGAACCTTTCAATATAAACAGAGAGAGGTTTGTATCCATACCAACTAAAATATAGGAATTTCCTTGGTGTATGTTTATTTCTGTGTCAGTGACATGGATAGGCTGTGTATGTGTGTTGCTGTTATGAGTATGCAAAAACTGTATACATATACATGTACACTGTCACACATATGTGTAGTTGTGTTGAATTGTATAAACAAGTGTATGTGTACCTGCATGTAAAGGTCCGTGTTGATGTCTTGCTGCTTCATCAGCTGTTTGACCTGTTTACGCCGCTCGACGAGCTTCCTGATTTCCTTTGGCAGGATTCCCATTTCCAGGTCAGAATCTGGAATCTCAGGAATCTCCTCCGGCTCGTCCTCCTATTACCATGGAAACAAGAATTAAATGAGCAGGAACTTTTCATTGGGGAAAAAAGTGAGGCTGTGTTCATCTTTGTTCCTGGGCATTGTGATTAATCAATTAAAACATGTCTGGTCTTCATAAGATAGTCTGATTATTAAATCATTTGGTCATACAAACACACCTGCTCCTGCAGCAAGCATTTGAACAAAAAATAGACACACCTCATTCTTCTTCTGTTTGTTGTGAGCCTCCCTCTGTACAGTGGTGAAGCAGATGTTGAACTCCTGGATAATTGATGGATACAGGCTGTTGAAGTCAAGCAGCAGCACAAACTTATCATAGAAACCTAAGGGGCAAAAGAGACGGAGGGTGGTTATAGAAATATGAAAACACACGGACACATGACACAAATAAGTAAGACTTCAAACACGTGCTTACCAACTTTAGGATCCAGCACCAGACCTCCAGCATAGGCTGCCTTCTTCTTCCGCTTGCCTTTCCCTGCATCCACATCTTCATCTCCCTCAGCCTGGGACAAGGGAACAAAGAACATTGGTGACATGACTATATTAGAAAAAAAGAGGAATTTGTGTGTTTGTGTGCGTCTTTACCGTATCCAGCTGGGCCTTTTTGAAAGAGGGTTTGTCTGGGACGATGTAATTTTTCTCATGGAAGGCATGAAGCAACAGGAACTCATTCCTCTCAGAGCGACCGCCCATCAGAGTTCGAGACTGCAAAGAAACAGGAAGGAATCAGGTGATTGAAGAAGGCGGCAAATAACGCTATCAAAAAGGAAAAGAGTTACAAACCAGATCAGACAAGACCTGAGCCAGCCTGCAGTAAGCCTGAGAGGTGATGTATCTTTATATTCCAGTCTAACTGAAATCGAAAAATGTCATCTTACCCTGGTGCATTGTGTTCTCCCTGAAACAAACTGGTTGATCAAAACAAGCAGGTACTAAGCTTTGATAAAGGCTTTTAAAAACTAAAGCATCAAGTCTTTTCTCTTCATTCATATGAAAACCAAGTTTTTCTTTTGTCTGCAAACTGTTTAGTTTCTGAGTTCAGTTTTCAATATGTGTACTACAATTGTACAATAAGCGAGAACAAGCTGCTACTTGGAATTTGACTGTTCATCTTTGTTTTTGTCGTGTGTGTTTGTTTTGACATTTTTAGTTTTGAGAGGCAGATGGATGCATTTTAAGCATGTATGCCGTTTGGATGTTAATGTCCTGACATTCAGCCAATTGTGAAGTGACTGCAATGTTAATTGTTGTAATTTGAGTTTTCTGCCTGAGCTGAGCAAGAATAATAGTATGGTTGATTAGTGAAGATGTTCTTGGATGTTACCATGACGTTGCCAGCGATGTTGGTGATCTGCAGGGCCAGTGGCAACACGTTGAGCTCACACATGATCTGGAGGATCAGCTTGGCATCTGTCCATGTCAACTCCAACAGGTAGAGCAGGTGAGGAGAGTCACTGACGCACAAAAAAATATTTTAAGGATACACATAATTTCAACATTGATGTCTCAGCAAAAAAAAGAAAAGAAAAAAGTTGCGTGTTAATCAATGCATGATTGCCATCTCAAAATCAATCAATACACCTTAAATGTCAATATGAAAACTTTGACACAGTATAAGTGAGTGTGTCCCTCATTGACTCCAGAAGTTCTATTTACCACCATATAAAGCAGCAGGATCAGAAACTGAACTGAATGACATGTTCTGTCTGTCTGTCGATCTCTTCGGAGTGTGTGTGTGTGTGATCGTGTGTTGCAGGCGTCAGTTACATGCCCTTATATACGTTAAATTGTGGCAGGCAAATTCAATTTAGTATTAATTTAATACTACAAATAATAAGTAACTAAATTAATGGGAAAACAAGTCAAATATTGTCTTGACATTTGCAAAGGCATGAGCAATCAGTGATCGTTCTAACGATCGTCCATCGACACAACCCTAGTGTGAACGCACCCAAGATGCATTGAGGGCTCATTTGAGATCTGATCGCTCAGACCATATTCATAAGTGGTCTGGGCCGCATGCGAATGCGTCCTTTTACATGAGCACAGCGCGCAGTCATTAACCTAATAGTGAACTGAAAGCTAAAGCTAAAAGGAAAACTTTCTGTGTGTAGACTACAGCTTTATTTTAGTTTATATACAAACTTTTTTTGTAAACTTATAGCTACAGTCTGAGACAGCATAGGACATTACAACAGCCCAAAGGATTTAATACTGGATGTGATTTATGTAATCTATTGTTCTGTGCCGGTGTGTTTTTAAACTTATTCACCTGTACAGATTTTTTATTTCTTCCTGCGGGACTGTGACTCTCTCCGTCTTCAGCACCTGTACAGCCAGCTCAGTCAGGTGATAACTTTTACAGCGAATCAGCTCCTTGGCTGAGATCTCCACATCGCACACCAGACGGCCACAGGTTGCACTCTTCTCTGCAAAGGAACCGCGACCCTGCAATAATATATGGCACGAGCGTGCACAAATACAAACGCATACAATATATGAAACATTTAGTGACGTGCATTACAGTATAGAAAAGAACAAGAAACAATCAGCTTCTATCAAACAATTTCTATCACAGTGGTTTGTGTTTTTCTTACCCCTAATTTGGGCATATTGGCCCTCCTGAGGCGTCCAATCTTAGACCAATGTGGGACCTTGCAGGCGTTGATCCTCTGCAGAAGCACTTCCAGGTCAAAACCAAAGATGTCGTGACCCTACAGGAAATACAATTTTTTTTTTTCTTTTCAATAAACCATTTCACCTGCATCTGTGCTTCCTGTAGGTCCTATTATCTTGTATAGGGATGTTAATCAATTTAGAAAATCACACAGAATTACTCAGTCCCAGCATCTTCTACTCACCACCAGCACATCAGGGTCGATCTTGTGCATCTTGGCCAAGAAGAAGCCGAGTAGAGTCCGCTCTGTAGCAGCTATCTCTACCTTCCCATTCTAACAGAGGGAGGGAGGGAGACACACCATCAATGTTTCACATTCACAGACCACAAAGAGGCGTCCTAATGCAGTAAATATTCAAGTCTAATGAAATCTGTAAAGAATAATATCTAAATGAAATATCTCTATGAAAATAACACAAACAACTAATACAAACAACCTGAGCTCCATAGCAAGTGGCCACTCACCTTCTTCCTCACAGCCTCTTTGAAGTCGTACGGGAAAATACAGTCAACTGGTTTACTGACCACTGAAAAGACAAAAAGAATGAAATAACTATTCCTACATGTTTGTAATTTGACCATTTTTTTCTAATTCTCACTGATAAACTGAGCATTGAAATGTGTTCACCATGTTCATAGAGGCTGAACAATATGATATTCAGCCATATCACATTATGGCTGGAAGTTATTCTACAGAACAAAACATGAAACTGGCATCTAATATATATTTATCCGACTGAATATGACTATTTCCATAAGCTTCCAGTTTATTTCAATTACATTCCTATGCAATTCTACGACATTTCATTTAAAATGAAAAAAGCAAAGAAAATAAATAAATAAATTATATATATATATATATATATGTCAATAACTCACCGCAGAAGTGGGCCTGGTAGGGAGGTTGAGGTGGAGCTTTATCCATATAGAATTGACAGTGGACAAGAGCAGCCAGAGACACAATCTGCAGAAGAACAAATATCAATGTCATCAAGTCTTTGCTCAATTTATATTTCAGTCTGTTTAAACCTACCATAAAATAACACAGCTAAACAATGATGCATAATGAACCCTGATAAAAGTGAAACACTATCTTTGAGTGTGTGCGCAGCTGTGAATGCTCTGACCTCGTTGTGGTGTGTCTTGGGGTTCTGGATAGTCTTGAGGCTGATGGACATGACAGTGATGGGTGGAGGCGACAGGTCTTTAACCACAGTGACCAGGTCACTCCTCAGGGCCAGAGCCTCCACCTTACACCAGCTCACCGGCTGGCCGATCAGCTCTAACACATACACAGAGGAGACAATTTTTCAGGGATGTGAAAACTTTTTTTTTTTTTAAATCCTTTCATATCAACTACTCCCATTTCTCAAATAGGGGAATCAAATTGTTATATAGAGGGAACATTTCTCAGTATGATAAACTGAAATTAATTTTGTTACATGCAACTTCATTTTAACTACATGCAGGTTACTATCAGTCTTTGACACATAGCCCAAGTTTCATAACATCTCCCTTACGTGGTGTCTTGATGTCAAGCCAGCAAGGCCCTTTGATCTTCCTGCTGAGGAGGAAGTGCTCCAGACTGGAGATGTTGGTACCAAAAATGTGGGAAAAGGTCGCCCCCTTAAGGTCAGAAGGCAGCCCAGGGAACTCAGCCTGCAAAAATGATATTTACCACAGAGATAAATGTTGTATCATAAGAGAACAAATATAGGCCTGGACAATCTGGGAATGATGGATATGTGTGTGTCTACTCACAGAATATCTCACTTCCAGATACTCGCACTGACTGGGCACATCAGGGATTTCAAAAGAATAGTTCTTCTCCACTTTCTGCAGACAGAGAATCACAGAAACCAAACAAAAAGGTACAAACATGTGAGACTTGCCACTTAAAAGAAAAATACAATTATGCTAAACTATGCAGTTTGTATCTAGGGTTGGTACTGACCTTAGACTTGAACTTCATGATCCTGAACTTCTCAGAGATCTCATTGAACTCTTGGTAAACATCCATCATCCCAACAGGAGTTTCTGACACCTCCCCAGTCTTGGGGTTCACTTTCTGTAGATTTAAATGCAAACTCGTATCTGATCTTCTTTTATAAATTTCAAAAATATAAATACTGTGAATGTTACTAAGATTCTGCGATGGCAACAAACTCAGAATCTCAACATGTGGCCCCACAGTGATAAGAGCAAACATCTGAGTGATGGTTCATCTAGTCCGACAAAGAAAGAAAGGTTATGTGTCCAAAACACACAGTATTAAAACAATTGTTGTTCTTTAAAACATAGCACTCAATTATTTCTACCCATAAATGCGCTGGTCTGAACAGCTGTCCTGTTCAACATCAACTGTCCTATCAGAGTGAGATTAGCAGTCATATGACAGAATAGGAGACTTACATATTCACGAGGCAGGAAGTACATGGTCCGCTCAATGTTCTTCACAGTAACGCAGCAGCTGACATGAGACTTTGCAGACTCAATCCACACTTTTCCGAACAGGTACACCACACCTAGGTGACAGTTAAATCAAAATATCAGGATGTGCTTTACAAATCTAAACAGCATCACTGGATCGTGGCGTCACAGGGAGTGTCCACTCCAAGTGTTAATATGACTTACCTGGCTGGGTATACGGGTCTTCAAAGGCATCCAACCAATAGAAGCGGAAAACCTGCTCCCCATCTGCTCCCTCCAATAGTGGGAGTTGGCTGGAGTCGACCTGTACCTCTACTGGAGCCTCACTGGCTTCGCCCTCCTCCTCTTGTCCCCAGGAGCTTCCGATTCTGCTGGGCCTGGAAAAAGACAAAGGAACACTTGATAAAACTGCAGCATTTTAAGACTGAGCCAGCGAAATCTCCTCCCCGTCTTGAAAATGTATATATCCTATAAAAAAAGTACAAGCAATCTAAGCAGATAAATAACTCACAAGAGGGCAGGATCCTCTGGCTCCGCTTTGGGCTCCACTTTAACTGCAGTCACTGCTGCTACTTTAGATTCAGGCTCAGTATTCTCTGTGACTGCAGGCTTCTCCTCCTCAAGTCCAACCTCCATTGGCTCATCAAAGTCCACACCGTCAAACGCCAGAGCTTCATTCACTAAGAAACACATTGCCACAAACTGTAAGAGTGTGTTCAATTTCTAGGTCAGACAAATTAAGTAAAAGCTAGCACATTCTTCACATGTTTCAGGCTTCCTCACCTTCCTCTTCATCCAGCTCCTCCACTTTTGCCCTCTGCCTCTCCATAGGAAGAGCAGGTTTGGATGGAGGAGGACGGGCTGATGGCTTGGGTGTCAGGTCAGGAGGCGGCGGGCGGATCACTTTGGCCTTTAACCCCGTAGCCGAGGGTGACTCCTGGTATTACAGAGGTTACATATAATGTTTTACAATTAATTGAATTTTTAAAGGTTTACAGACGCTTCCCATCTTATATTTTTTATTTAATTTTTCATTCAACTATGACAGAAAATTTTGTTAAGTTAAAGAATACCTTTGGAGGTTTGATAGAGAAGGGATTCATGGGTGATCCAAGAGACTTCTTTTTCTTCAGAGTGACCACTGGCGGAGGAGCCAAAGGGGAAGGTTTCTAGGAAAAGAGAGATGGAAACAAATTTAAAAAGCAAATATAAAACCTATCAGATTAGGTATGGACAGTAAAGAGGTGGATAAATTGGCTATAAATAAGAAAAAGAAGATGTAAGAACATTGTCCTCTTCAAGTGCTTTTGCACAGCATGACCTGCTTGTTTATTATAAATCAACTAAGAGCCTCATCTAAGTCAATAATACTGACAATAAATTGTGTTTAATTATTATCATCTGTCTTTTCTTGATGGTGTGGTACCAACCTCAGAGTGCAGGTCCTGTAAGATATCTCCTAATAAGTCATCTTTGGACAGGTCCACGTCTTTCTACAAGAGATAAAAATATACTTCTGATCAATGCATGAGCAGAAAAGGAGCAAGAACTGGCGTTCAGTGATTTCTTTTATTCCAAACTCAGCTGCAGAACCACTGTATGTCAGTTCACCCACTGAAAAAGACCATGCGGGTTATATAAAACATACTGTTGAGAAAGAAAAGACTACAAAAAAAATTGTTCAAAACATCCATATACAGACATGGACACTTAGGGGAATTTGTAATAGAAGCGAATACTGAAGAAAGTTAATGACACTAACAAATACACACCTCAGCAGGCCTCTTGACATTACTGTTCATAAAGAGGCTCTTAATGGTGTTGGGTTTGGCCACCACAGATTTCTTCGCAGTTTTCTTTGAGTCTGCTCCTCTGGCGCTTGGTTTTCCTACAAACACAAACAAAATGTATTCAGACACCTGAACTGTGCATGCTCCAACTGCTAATCTAAAAAAATGCATGAACTAGTGTCTAATGCACGTCTAGTGTTTACCTTTGTTGTTTTCTACTACATCATCATCCAAGTCGTCATCAAAGATTTCTCGTCCATCCTCCACATATCCTGTTCCATCTGAGTGAAGAGAAGCATTATTAAAAACCCTCTCATCGCACATATTCCTGCTGTGGACACAGGAGACTGTAAGACTCACCATCATCAATAATCCAGTCATCCTCTTGTCGTTCTCGTACCATCTTCGAGTACTGCTCCTCGTCCACCTCCTCATACACACTTGTAAACTCCTCCACCTGGAAAACACAATCACGGGTTGAATATTGCCTATGAGACAAGCAAGGCAGAATGAATATCAGATCCAACTGCACTATTCTCTGTTGGTGAACAGCTTAAAAAGACAAACATTTACATCAAGTCTTTCTTAGAATAATCTGCTAATGATTTGTTTCAATTAATCAATTACTTGCTTATCTCATAAAATGTCCAAAAATAGTTAAAAAATGCCCCTCAAATGCCCATTTCTGTTTGATAATCAATCATCATAATAGGTGTCGTTTGACTAACTGATTGAACTCATTTTCATTATTAAAAAAATGTAACACTTTCCTTCTTATGGAGAACCAGAACATCTTAACATGTGTAAATGTTTTAAGAATGATAATAATCCACTGTTGAATTCTGCAAAAACACATTCAAAACAGCTCTTGAGAGAAATTTGATAGTATTTTAATAGATATTACCCATGTAACTATTTAATATTACTACAATGATGTTGATCCAGAAGCAGTGGGAATCAAGAAAACTTTGTTGAAAGACAGGCTGAACAGTTGATCGAAGTAGGCACAAAATTTGTTAGAGGATCCAAACAAGTCAGACGATGATGCAACACTAAGGTTTCACATATTTTTGAATTAAATACACACAGATTGCGGGATATCGATTGTCGCGTACACATGCGTGCACAACACAGATTCCTTACTTCATATTTGACCTTCTCCCCCATCTTGGCTTTCTTGAGCTGTTCCAGTGCAGACTTCCTTCCCACCTTCTCCCTCTTCTCCCGTCTGGAGCGAGACCTCGCCAGACCGCAGGCATCACCTCCATCGTCTGAGGAGAGACAGGCTCCACATCAACATGACGACGCAGCAGGTATGAACAGAACAGTTTGATTTTCAAACATTTATTCAAACAAGTACTCCACTGCCACATTTGCAGGGAATCTTCTGAGGAGCGCAGGCGCAGTGCATTGTTTGTTTTTAACCGCTTCTCAATGAACATGACACACTTCTTGCAAGCTTGTGATACTTACTTAGGGGTTGTTTAAGTTTTTTGTAATGAATTTGAGCATTGGTTCATATATGCAGGGCCTACGATGTCTGAGAGGTCACGAAGTCAAAACAGAAGATGGCAGGCAACCATAGCATCGCACTGGTGTTAGCTAACATTACCATATGTTCTCCTCCATTATGACATATCGACAACGAACCTCGAGGTAAATTGTTAGCAAGTCGACCAAGTTATAGAAACACACAGTGCCAATGGCCACAGCCTGTTGCCAGGTTTAGTATGACGGTGAAAGCTAGCTAATGTGTTAGCTAACTTCTTCGCTTTCCCTCTACAAGCCAGCTGAAGTCAGCTAGCAAGTAAAGTGAAACAGAAAACTCACCGCCATCCGGACCGTCCATGTCTTTGTCTGGGTTTGATACCGGAGCCATGAGTTTACTTTTTGTCTTTAACGTTTACTGACTGACAGCTGCTCTCCGCGTCCGTCAGCACAACAACAGTACAGTCCGCGCCAAATTGCCTTCCCGGGGAAAGTCATATGCAGGAAATGACATCACATAACTGTCAGCCAATAAAATGAATCGCTGTCTCGGCTTGCTCAGTCCGCATGGTGGCAGTGTTGTACAGTCTTTTTTTTTTACCCAACAGGATCCACAATACATTAAAATACAGTATTTCTACAACACGTGAGACATGTTAACTCTTATCATATGACTTTTTAAGGGGCTATGAGTAAGTTATTCATACTATCATACCATAAAAAACAACACGATTCACTTCTCTTTACCACCTACAAAACTTACAATATCGATTGTTATTATATAGCATATATATATATATATATATGTTATGAATATTTGATGTACGTATTGTATGTAAATGTACATTTTTCTCCTCACTCCTTGTATTAGGCTACATAACTCGGAAATAACCAATTGAAATACATCCATTTTTATTTTCTTTTTCATATGGACAAGACAGTATTGTCTGAGGTCACAAATGCTGAATTCATGGTATAGCCTTTGTATTTCCTAGGGAATCACAGCATTACATTACATTACAATCTGATCCTCAAATTAGGATTCTCAAAGTATAGGATTAGGTCATTAATGTCTTTTTCAGTCAATGTCTATGCCTGTGTATCCCCATAAAGTTCGTTTCCATAGCGACCAGGCGGGACTATGGAGGGTACAATAGATTCCTGTCCCAGATTGGGGCCACAGAGACACTACAGTGCGTCCAACAATGAAAACACAAAGGATGTTTTGTCCTTCATCCCCTCAGCCCCTCATTTTGGCTTTTTATACCATTGATCACTGCGATAATTCATGTAAACCTGCCCCTATGGGCCTACAGTAGCCTATAGTGGGTTTTATGGCCATGTCACCAAGTTGATCATAACAGCACATATTGTGATAAGTCGTTATTTTTGTAGGGTGTGCATTGTTTTGGTGTCGGTTGAGCTATATGTTATCCTTATTTATTGTATGTTACATTCTTTTTTAATATATTTTTTGTTTTGTAAGAGACGTTATTCACATTTCAAAATGAGGCTAAGAGTTGCAGATCGCGCGAGTTGGGTCTTCCACTACAGTACAATAGGCGGATAGTAGGCCCACGTGAATGTACAGCCTAATGACCGTATGCTCTACTGTACGGTCTGCTGTGTGGAGCGTGGCCCACAGTTGTCGCAGCTCATCAGTGCTGAGCAGCTGATCTGTCCTTTTGGACAGACTGGACAGACGGGGCTGTCGTCGCTCTGCTGCACTTGCCCGCTGTGCTGGAGCAAGAAAAAAAAAAAAAAACCTGATAGCCTCCTGCCCTTGACTCAACCGCGAAACAGACAGAAAAGCAACCGACAAAACGGATCAATATTTACATTGTTCAGCTTTTGGACAACATGGTGAAACAGCGACGCATCAGAGCGCATTCCTGTTGTGCAGCTGTTGCGCCTCTTTGTTGCAGAAGAGGACCACCGAAGGTAAGCACCCATCCCTGCCCTGCTTATATCCTACAGCGGAAAGTTTGCCAAGTAGCTAATAGTAGTAAAAATTAGAAAATTAGTCTGAGTAGTTTGAAGTATTGCTTACATCAAATTATTGAATACCCTGCCCTACACTTTCTGTATCTTTACACTAGTCTGACAGTCTACTGAGAGTCTGCTCAAAACTGGGTGTGACAGCTCAAACAACAGCTTTAGCCAACTTATATCTCTCTATCTATATAAACCGATTCAACAAGAGATAGGCTACTGAACATGTCAACACAATGCATTCATCCGCTGTGATAGTGTAACTAAGGTTACCACTGAAGTTTTAAGTTAAACTCTTCAAGTCTTCTCTTCTGGATATTTTTTCCTCTCAGTTCTTTGATAAAGCACCTTATAAGAGAAATCAAATCTATTTACCATTCACTCCAACAATTTTACATTAAATTTTAGCAAAAACCATTTGCCCGGTCAGTTGGTGACACTCTGTCAGTGCAATGTTTTACCGATGGTGCTATGGACTGCTCCACCAATCCCCGCTGCCTAAGCTGCTGGACTGCTGGAGCTGCTCTCGGATTGGTCCTTTCTTGGAGCTCTCTCCTCTTTTTCCGTCGCCATGGCGAGAGCTCACCAGCTCTGCCGAGACTCCGCAAACAAGCAGAGATCGTTTATCGACACAACGACTCACTCACAGCTCACAAAACTTTTTCCGGGCTCGCCACAGTAACCATGCACAAGTAAACAAATCATAGGCCAATGCTTTGTGGATCATTTCTGGCCTACAGATATGGGACTACATTTACATATATATACATACATACATATATATATATATATATATATATATACAACCTGTTATTAGTACTTCTTTTTTTCTTTGCATAGACCATTGTCCAGTAATCATCTGTAAAATTGGCAGCAGATGTGGAGAATTGTGACATAATTGCAAACCCTCTACAGGTTGAGTCAGTACTCAGTTATCTATAGAGAGGAGCAAAATCTATTGTAACAACAACCCAGATTATTTTGGGCTCAAATGAACCTTGGACATTTTTAATTGAATATTTGCAGCATTAGCAACATCAAATTGAAGGCTGACTTCTATCCATTTGTCGTATCTAGAAATAGCTGCAGAGTGAGAGCTCTTCGCTGCATCCTCTTCTCTGCAGCGGGGGATCAGAGAGGAGGAGGAGGGGGAAGAGGAGGAGAGGGGAGGGCAGACCGAGAGGCAGAGCAAAGAGTGGGCGGGGGGAGCAGAGGAAGGAGAAAGAGACAGGAGTGGTGAGGAGAGAGGCATCGTCTCACTGATGCTGAGTCACATAACTGAGGGACCACAGCCGCATCCCATGAGTCTTTGGGAATAATGGAGGAGCTTGAGCACACCTGCCCCCATCCCCGGACGGTAGGGCCTTTGTGTTTGTGTGTATTCCTGTGTATAGATGTCTTGCAGTGTATAGAATGTATGTGACAGGGGGAGAGAGAGGAAGACAAAGGGTCCTGCTTTCTCCCCTGTTACGAAACAGGTCCCCTATAGCATGTGGCTGTGGGAGATGCTCAGAATGCTGAGTGGACAGTGTGTGTGTGTTCTGCCAAAGGAGGGGGGGGGGGGTTTACACAGTGGACAGCTCAGCATAGATGTCCTGCTGAAGGGACTTTGCAGCAGTAAGGACATAAAGCCTCCTGTTTGGATACTCACCCCTGCTCTGTTGTTCTTTGGTGTGATTCCACATCCTGGCATTCACGTTAGTCTCCACCAAGCTCTCCATCTTTGCTTTTACCTCTTCTCTGTTTTCACTCAATCCTCTCTCTAGGCTTGTGAGGCAGTCTCGTCTTTGCTGCTGTTGTTTCCTTGTGCCCTGTGCTCCCGTGTTTCTCTTTTTTTGGCTTTAATCCTCCTTATGCCAGATGTTCTTTGCTTGTGCCAGAGTGGGTTTTACTGAGCGCGCTCTCGCCATCCCGTGTGCTCCTGGTCAGTTAGTTTAAGCTTTACCATCTGCTCTGTGCTAAATGTTTGTAAGCTACCCCCTATGATTTCACCATGCCCAAGGACTCATGGGTGTGAGGACTCTCCCTCAGCACCTTCTTGTTGTGGCTGCTGATTTGTTGCAGCTCTGATGGCTCCAATTTAATTCTAATACTTGTTTACTGTAAACTGGGATGTTGAAATGTTAACTAACAAGATATTCAAAGCCAATTAAAGAATGTCGAATTAAATAGGATGCAGACAACATAAAAGGAGTCTGATATGTATGGCAATGTTTGGCAAATTTAATGCCTTCAACTCCTCTTGTAGCTGTAACTCTTCACTTGCCTTTGTGTTGGCTGCTTTACATATATGCTGCTACTTGTGAGGGACAATTACATCCAATCCACTTGAATTGTTGCCCACATCTCTCACGTTTCAGCGATTCACATAATGAAGTGAGAACAAAACGGCATTTCATCAACTACAGCTGTTGTAACATGAGCATCTTTATGCTTGGCTGTGCTTTGTGTGTTTTTAATGCGAATGTGCAGAACTATATGTTATCCTACATAGTGATGTTACTTGTGTTTGGGGTCAGTGAGATCCCCAGTGAGGTCAAACTCCATGGAGACCTCTCGTGAAACAATCACAGATCAGAGCAGATGGAAATCCATTGTATTTAACCTTGTTTTACAGCTCGGGTCACGCTCTGTAGTCGACATGTTATCAGTTCAAAATCATAAGGAATTCATAAGCAATTCAATTAGGAAACGGCATGAACTGTCATGGTGATGAAATAATGTTTTCTTTGAGCAGTTTAAAACTCTCCAGAAGCACCAACAGAACATGAGGGTTAAAATAGCTGCAGTAAAGGCATAGCACCTACCAGATGTTTATTAGAGATCAGTGACACAACAACTGTCCTCAGTGTGGCAGGTTACTTTCTCCATCAAAAGGATTTAGCACAATTATGTATGGTGGCATAAAAACCTGTAATAAAACCATCATAACTTTACATCTTTTTAATCAGTATTGAAGTGACCTTCTCATGAAGAAATAGTCCTGAAAACTGTTGACAGTAAAGTCTGTGTAATACCCAGATTAATAGGGACAGTATTTCTGAGAGAAGATGTTGCTGTTGAACTTTTTAATGTCTTTTTTCAATACAGTGAGCACTACAAACAAAATGAATTTACCTCTAGGGTAGTGGGGTGGAGATATAAATCTCAAAACCTCTGCAAATAAAATCAGACCTGTCTGCGTGGTTAGATACCACTTGGAGTTATGTACAGTAAGAAATGTTTGTCTGCCCTTCAGCGCGGGGTTGGAGCTTTATTTCACTTGTTAAATCTCACTCTCCAAACCTGCAGCGCTATTCAAAACCACTGATTTGATATTTGCCACTTTCCTGCATTTGTGCCTCCCATTTCCTTGCTCTATCCCTGTCTGTGTTCACGGAACATGTCGTCAGGCCTCACTGTGGTTTTGTTGTTGCTCCTGGAGGATATTTTGACGTCAATTGCCTGTCATGTCCTCAGAGACATTTTTTTTTTTCATCCTCCTCTTTCTGCTCTGTATTGACTCGGAGTCTATTTTGCTGGTGTGAATGAGATTCAGCAAGTATTCCCTGCAGTCAACAGATGGCACACAAAGACAAATTTTCAGTCAGGCTCGCACTGCAGCACTTTAACCTTGATGCTGTTTTAACAGGAACTAAAAAGTAGTGCCCTTTATCTCACTTGTCCTTTCTTGTCTCTGTCTGTCTGTGTCCTGTTGTCTTTAATTCTTCCTTTATGTCCTTCATTTACATTTAATTATCTGAGAACCATAATTGTTTTCCTCCTGCTTCAATTCAACACATGAGGTCACCTACACATTGACCACTTCCATCTTATTTTATTCTTCCCTTTGCATTTTAGTTTAATCCTGAGAGACAACAGATCAATAGCTCCGGCCCTACTTGCTGTCACATGTTTAATACACACACAGACAACATACAGAGAAGTATCAGCTCACACACACACACACATACACACACAGGGTGATCAATAACACTCAGTGCAGCTCTGTCCGTCTCTCAATCCATAGTCCCAGTATGGAGCAGGCGTTGGCTGTGGTCAATAACTTAATGGAGGTTATTGTAACTGAAATGAGCCTGGAAAGGAGAGACATATTGCATATCGCTTAAGGGATGGGCGGCTGTGTTTCTGTTTAGGGATTTCCTTATGCAGGTGTTTTAGATGTTGTTAAACCTTTTAAGAAACTTTCCTCTACATCTTTAATTCATCTTCCAAAATGAGAAAAATGTGCTGTACTTTATCTGTCTGTAACTCAGTCTCCTTCTCATTCCCTTTGTCGCAGACTCTGACAGAGCCTGCCATCTTTGCCAGGGAGACCAGTTGTGACTGTCGCGCCCCTCATGAGAAACTCACCATCGCTCAGGCCCGCAGAGGCACCCCAGGTTGACATCTTCTTTCTTGGTTTTTTCTTTTTCCTCGCCTAGCTTTCACAATTATCTCCAATACATTACTTACATTAATCCTTCCTTTCTCTAATTACATTTTGCTATTGTCATTTCTGCATCTCCTAGTATTACTGCTACCTTTTCTGCTACTATATTAGTATATGTTATATATTAGTATACGTTACATACTAATATAGTAGTAGAAAGTATAGTGTCATTTGCTAGATTCTATAAATCTATCCTCAAGAAGTGTCTGCAGTCTTCCACCCAAGCTGCATGAGACTACAGCCCCAGCACCCCTCACACCAAGGAGGCAGGGCATCTTCTATGTTGCCCGAGAAGCTAAATCCAGGGCAAAACAGTCAGAAAATCGCTCTCTACTGCTTGTAAAGCTTAAATGCTGTGAGCAACCGAAGGTCACTCGGATGAGCATATTTAACACTCGTGGTTGGACAGTGAGAGGACAATGTCTCCCCCATCCCCAGAGGAAATTACACCCCTTGCTATCACCACAACTACTACTGATGCTTCTACTATGGCTATCGCTGCCCCCACTACTATTACTACTCCTCCTGCTAGATCTATTACTACTTAATACCACGAATGCGTCGGATTCTACTACTACTGCTACTCTTGTTTACCACCTTTTTTTCCAGGACATTATTTATAATAACAAAGTTATTACCAATGCTACTAAATCTAAAGTCAAACAGTAGTATTTCCTTTTTTTTGGGAAGGTATCTTTTCATGCCATATATGGATTGATAATATCTTGGTTGATAGTATAGTAAAGCTTCTTGCAATTCCTAGATCTCCTGATGTCATTACTAATGATGAAAACTATAATACAAAGGTAATTAAGCTATAGTTTAAGTTAGTTTGAAGACCTTTAGTAGTTCTGTTTTGTGATTTTATAATGCATATTCCGAAATAAATGAGCTGAATACCACACAGTATATACAGGATGGGGACAGGTTGTATTCTTAATAATATTCTGTATTATTCTGTATTCTAGAAAACTGTCCACATTACATAGACAGTAGAGGGAACAGGGGATTAATAGGGGCCTAAAGCGGTTAGTTTTGCTGATCTGTGACTGTGTTGTTGTCCTGCTGTGTGTTTTCAGTGGACCGGCCAGTCAGAGTCTATGCAGATGGCATCTTTGACCTGTTCCACTCTGGACACGCTCGTGCTCTCATGCAGGCCAAGAACCTCTTCCCCAACACCTACCTCATAGTAGGAGGTTAGACAGACCCACTGATACACACACACATACAAACACACACATACAAACACACACACACACACACAAAATGATATGCCACTGTTAAAAATAACCCATTCAGATTTGTTTATCTGTGTCTAAATGTGTTCTGTGGGGTTTCCCTGGGATGTGTATGGAACAGTGTGCAGTGATGAGCTGACCCATAAGTACAAGGGTTTCACAGTCATGACGGAGCATGAACGATATGAGGCGCTGAGACACTGCCGCTATGTCGACGAAGTTTTGAGAGACGCACCCTGGACTCTCACACCCGAGTTCCTGGAGAAACACAAGGTGCATATGTGTGGTTCTGTACAGTATCTGGCTGTTAAACTGTGTATGAAGCACCCAAGAGCCATATTCAGATTCCTAATTTGATGTCACTGAATTTAAATCAATTTAATTCAGATTATAATTCAATTTGATTTTTAATTGAAGTTTAATTTAATTAATTGAACTCTATCTATCTTATCAAATCATATATATATGTATATGATTTGATAAACAAATTATATATCTATATATATATTATTATTTATTATTTGTTTTAAGGATTAATCTAATTTTAAATGTAAAATTTAAATCTAATTTAATGTAGTCTAATCCAATTTAGTTCCATTTAACATTCCTATTTTTTGATGAATATTTTATTTCACATTCACTGACACAAACAGGTCACCCGTCAACCAGTCACTATACATAGCGAGTAAATGAATTCAGAAACATGACGTAATCCACAGCAACAGGGCCAGTCCCTTATGAAAAGTTCTTAAAAGGAAACTCTTTGCTACAAACTCTGTGTATTTACGACCCTTGTTTTCTGCCATACAGTACGTCTCCTTTGATTGTTTCTCAGATCGATTTTGTGGCTCATGATGATATCCCGTACTCCTCAGCAGGAAGTGAGGATGTTTATAAACACATCAAGGAGGCAGGTCAGTGTGTGATACTCTAGAAAGGCGAGGCCACAACAACTTTGTGGAGTTCTTCTTTCAGAAAAAACTGAAATTGTGTTTGTTTTTTTCGTGTGTAAACCAGGGATGTTTGTGCCTACACAACGGACAGAGGGAATCTCAACATCAGACATAATTACCAGAATTGTCAGAGACTATGACGTCTACGCCCGACGCAACCTCCAGCGCGGCTACACGGCCAAGGAACTTAACGTCAGCTACATCAATGTGAGAGCATAATCAATTATGCCTGTCACCATAATGCTATAATGCTGACTGCTGCAGTTACTGTGTCGTAAATACAGGATACAGGCTAAGTCTTTCGGTTCATACGCTAACCTTATTACAATGTGGTTTTTATAAAAGGAAGCTGGAGAAATATTCCTCTTTAACTTCCTTAATTGTCCTTTAAACAATTACACTGATTCAGCTGTTATACACACTGTTTTAAGGCTTTAGATGAGCCTTTTCACTTCTGTATGACTGATTATGGATTTGCAACGCATCTGCTTGTCTATGATGGTTTCAAGTCAATGTATATGCAATTACATAATGACAAAAATATAAATATTACATAACATAACATGAATTATGCAGTGAAAAACATGTAAAAAGGTTCCCAGCCATAGTAAATAGTAAACTACTTAATTTGTAATGCAGCCAGGATGTGGAATTTTTTTCTACGAGGACCACTTCTATTTCAGTTAGATATAATGACTCACGAAATGTAGTACATTATGTCTCAAAGTGGAACCAGTTGCATAAAAAGGGTGGGAGGTTTTTCATGCCCTTTTCCTCACCTGCCCTTTTGATCCGCTCAGGAGAAGAAGTACCGGCTGCAGAACCAAGTGGATCGTATGAAGGAGAAAGTTCGCACAGTTGAGGAAAAGAGCAAACACTTTGTTTACCGCGTGGAGGAGAAAAGTCACGACCTCATTCAGAAGTGGGAAGAGAAATCGAGGGAATTTATCGGCAATTTCTTAGAACTTTTTGGACCGGATGGAACTTGGGTAACTAATTCTTTAACAAGGCAAACACTCTCATCATCATTATGGAGACTGTTATCATTGTTACTATGTTTCTTTAATGTCAGTGTTATGTTATGTGTGTGACAAATACACACAAAATTGAGGCATTTTAAATCACTTGTGGGGCTAAAATGTTAAGGTCATGTTTCTGATATGTGGACCTGACTAACATCCACGGTTTCCCTCCTCATCTATTTCTGTATAGAAACAGGTTTTCCAGGAACGCAGTGGTCGTATGCTGTCCTACGCTCTGTCTCCCAGAGGGTCGCCCTCTAACAGCCCTCCCCGCGAACTGTCCCCCCTGCGCTCTCCCTCACCTCCGTCTCCCCCTGCACGCTGGCACAATGCACGGCCGTCGCCCCCGACCTCCCCCAAAGGAGCATCTGCATCTATAAGCAGCATGAGTGAAGGCGATGAAGATGAGAAGTAGATGGACTGTTGAACACACTCCCATGCACACACAAAACACTCCACTCACAGTACACTGCCTGAGAACTGCACACACACACACACGCACGCACGCACGCACACACACACACACACAAACACACACACACACACACACACAGATATACTCCTACGAACACTGGCAGGATACTGAAACAGTTATCCTCAAAGACGTTGCTGACATGCAGTGAAGATGGTGGTCATGGGAGATGTAGTTCTGAGCTCCAGAGCTAAGAAGCCATCACTGTCTCTGTTGTCTGGGCAACCCAGCAGACAGAAGGAAGATGAAGAAAGAAGGGGATGAGGATTTATGTACACAGTGTCACATATCGTAAGACGGTCCAGAATCCTTTGCAGCATCTGTCGAGAGGATTTGCTTTGGATTGTCCAGCACTAATAGAGACTGTCCAACAGCCTGCTCATAATATCACCTCACTGTTTGTCCTGTTCTGTTTAGTTTAGCATTTTCTTAGAAAGATGCCAAGACTTTTTGTAACTACTGTGACCACATAAACATTGTGTCTGACATTCAGTTCAACAGGTCATGTGAACTGACGGGAACTGGATTCATTCATAGTTTTGTGCTTGTTGAACTGACAGTTAAGGATTGAATAAAAGACACTGAACCCCCTAGACTAGCGGAGATGTAGCGGTTGCTAACCTGTTGGCACTCAAAACACATAGTCAATGCTAGTTTGCACCATTTCAGCATAAATGATTGGCAAAGAAAACCAAATTCATGTAAAATAGGAAGAGTGATTCACAGTCTTTAATTCCCTTGATTTACTTGTTCCCACACTATAGTATTGACCAGTGGACTGCACCTACTCTGTAAAATGCCTGTTAGATAGTCCCAAAAACTTGACTGTGATGAAACAGAAGAAACAAACTTCATTTAATAGCTTCTTGAATGTAAACCAAGTCTCTGAGACCACACCTAGAGCGTAATTGTAATCACTCTAATTTGTACTCACATGCTATACAAACACACAAATTTCATTTCAGTAGGTCTCACAATTATCATGAATCATGGTAACCAATTAGTAGAAACATGAATTCTCACCATTAAAAAGCCATGTATTTTTGACAGTTTTTCCATGTTGTGTCAATCAATGTTTAGCAGACTTTTTTTTTTTTTTTTTTTCGCTCTTTGCAATATGATGTCAGCTGTCAAAAAACCTGGCAAACTTGGAGATGCAGCCTTTCTCCAGTATTCTGATGATACTTGAAATATACAATAATTGAGGCCCTCCAGGTGAACTGTCAGGTCCTCAAAAGCTGGAGCATAGCCCTAATGTTTTCTTTTGCTGTATGTAACAACTCCTTTGCTCAGGTCTGCTCACCAGTGATCCATATCAGGGCAGAGCAGACCTCTCCTCCACCCGAACAATACAAATACCCTACTGCAATGTAGAGAACTTAATGTCCTGTACGCACTACATGTTAATCTGCACTATATGTACAAACTTTGAGAATGTGTCTTTTTTTATTTTTTAAATTTTAATGTTCCAACAGCTTGATATGTAAATAAAACAAAACAATATAACTGAATGGAATTAAAAGTCAGTATTTGCTCATTTTTAAGATGACAGAATTTTAAAAAAAACAAACAAAAACTTGAGACAGATTACACACAACAGCAATTTTCTTTATTGTCAGGTTTGACAATAGGTATTGTAAGTTGATTTCATGCTGAATCACATTATAAGACTGTTCTATCACCTTTTTGGTGTGTGTTGATTTTGTACTATTTGCATATCTTTGCATGACTGCCTCCACAGTGAGGAGTTCATGCATACAAATACATTGTTTTAAGCTGGAGGTACAGTAAAACAGAGCCATCACTTCACGCTGGCTGCATATACAGCATAGACATTATTCATAGTTATATACAATGTTTTCTAAAATACCATAGGTACAGAGACATTCTTTAACAGTAAAGGTTGACAACTACTGAAGGTGGAAGATCTTTGGGCCTCTAAATCAAGGAATTGATCGCTAGCTGTTAGATGTGATTATGACTATTTTACTGAACTGAGGCCTTTAAATGAACAAGACTGTTGTCTCAAGCCTATAACAAAACACTTCCTTTATAGCAGGTTTGTCACTGAGCATCACTCAGTGAGACTGGCAGGTCACAAAGGCATTGGCAGTGATGAAATCTTACAGTGTGGCTGAAAAGCGAAGAACCTACAGGATGAGGAAACTCTCCATACGGAAGCGTCTCTCAAAATTCTTCATCTAAACTCCTTTCTTTTCACATCAGATGGAGCTAAAGGAGATGAGAGAAGGATGTCACTTCAGATCATTGTAATTCCCCATCATCTGCTTTTAACAAATGGGTCCATTTTTGGTGCATGTTGGAAAAGTTTGGTCTTTTTCAGTACCTCCAAAAGTGATGTTGCTATTATAAAGTTTTAACCTGGGATGTGATCATAATATATCTTCCATAAAAATATTGATAAGAGGTCTGAATAGATTGTATGAGTTATTTGAAGGAAAATATATTACAGTTAGTAAAGTGCACTAATAGAGTTCCTGAACATGATTCGTGTGACAGAAATTGGATGGTATGACGCAATGTTTCAGTACCCAGAGATGCTTTAGTGGTTGGGAGCTCAGCTCGTCTAACCACATTTTCCCCTGCTGTCTTTCCCATACACTCAGATTTCAGTGCTGCTTAACTTCCTAGCATATAAATAATGAAAAATGACGAAGTTTTAAAAGTAATCAGAGAAAAAGCGATAAAACATTATAAAAAGTATTTCTGTTCCGATGTCAAAGATTAAAAGTAACAATTAACTGTCTTTGTTCCTGATACAATAAATTAAAATCTGTCACAAATTAATTATTTTTCTATTTTTTAGCTGTATCTTCTTATTCTGTCATTTCACTCATAATTATAAAACAAAAGCACATTTTCAAAACACACAAGCTTTGTTCAAGCTCATTCAGAAAACCGTGAGGATTAGTAATACTACCAGTGACACACAAGGCTGACTGCATGAAGCACTGTTAGGATGACAATGTTGTGTATTCACCATGTTTGCAGGATGAGGTGCACAAAGGGGATGTCATAATGTTTTCCCACATTTACAGTCCTTGTGAGATGCATTAAGTCCATTCCTCTCTTTGAGGATTCATACAATACATCATGCTGGTGTGGTTGAAGCTACTTGACAGACAAAGCTGGCATGGTGGCATTTCATAAACATCCTACAGATGCGCCTTTGGTCCTTTAGTAAGGTGTTAAATCAGGGTGCAGAGCTGGCTTGCAAGCACAGATGTCTGATGAGGGTCAGTATTGCTGGTTAACACTCTATGGATGGGCGGTTGAAAGTGAAGCAGTAAAAGTTAAACAAAAAACACCTCTTTTTCTAACATTCTCCCTTTATAAATGAACTTTAAGTTCCAGTAAAGCCTTCAAGGCAGATTTGTTTTTTTTTTTAAAATCATATACTGTATATGTATTTAGATATAAGGCTTTCTGTCAATGACATAGAATAAAAATACTGACTTCTAGATCTTTAATAAGGTGTACTTCCAATGCAATGCTTCCTGTAAAAGAGCTATCACTGTCTCTCATGTATAGGTAATCCTCTTTCATTTCCCAGGCTTGAATAGACTGCAAACAAAACAAGTATTTACTATGCCAATGACACACTGGCCTAATTGTACGGTGAGTCAAAAGTATCTCTTAAAGGAAGGAAATCAAACCTCCTCCTTTTCCCATTTGCACTGAAACTCAAACTCCCTGACTCTGCTTGTGTTTGAGAGGGAGAAACAGAATACAAGCCTTCACTGATGGCGAGAAAGACACTCAATCAGCCGTGCATGGCTGATTCAGCCACAGGAAACAGCGGCCTAGTCAGCAAAGCCGACTATGCGGGAGACAACAGGAGAGATAACAGTGATGCAGTGAATCCAGGTTGAAGTAATGGTCAGACAGAGGAGAAATGGAGTCTACATTTGGAAATATTCACCTAAATAACCAATTTTTGGGGGGGATCCAAAATTTGGAAGAAGTTCATTTTAAACTCCATTGTGGGAGAGCCAGTGGTAATGCCACAACAATAAAAAGCTACACTGATGAACGTCATTGCCCTTGGGTACAGATTTAAGTCAAGGTCATCCTTCTTCTCCAAAGATTTAACCACTGGAATGTAAAAGCCAGTCTGATCCTAAACCAAGCATTTACCCAAGCGCAACATTTCATCACACATGCTCTAGGCAGAGTGCAGGCATTTCAACTCCCAGCAGAGGGCTGGGCTAGCAGGCCAGGCAGAGTTATCTGTTGGCTTTGTATTTGGACTTGCTGGCATCACGTGGCTCTTTGCTGGGGTTACTCCAGTCATCTGCCTCAGGGCTGGTCTTGTAATGCCGCCACGCTGACTTGTTGAAGACAGGCAGGCGTTCGAAGGACTCGCTGGACAGGGCCTTTAAATGGAGGAACAAAACACAAACAAAAAGAACCGATGAGAACTCACAAGCATTTATCTTTAAAGGAACTTTCTCATCTGGGAAATACACCTATTTGCTTTCTTGCCGCTAAAAACCAGGAGACGATTAGTTTGGCTAAGGCACTGACAACACTAACACCTCCTTTTTTGTACAGATTAAACAAAAACAGGTCTAACATGTTAAGCAGTGAGCTTTAGAGTTGCTGGTAGGTATACTCTTTTTATCTTTGAACAGAGCCAGACAAGCTGTTTTCTTGCATTCAGTCTTTATGTTCAGCTAAGCTAATCGTCCCTGGGCATGGCAGTATCAGATTCAAAGGAATAACATTTTTGGAAATATGCTTATTTTCTTTCTGACTGAGAGTTAAATGGAAAGGAAAAGTGTCGGCTCATTTCTTGGCCGGTAGTCTCTCAAGGGAAAACTAAACTTGTAAGGCAAGTCCAGTGAGGGTAGCCAAGCCCTATCACTGGCAAGCTAATCTGCTAACATAATAACAACTGGCTGCACCGTGTTTTCACAATGTCATGGAGAACTCGTGGGCGTGGAGATTAAATATATTGTTTTCAACATTTCTATTTTTAAAAAGCCTCACGGTGGATACACTTAAGTAGGAACTGATTATTGAAAATGACTATTATGTTCAGCTGTCATTAATTCATTATCAGACAGACATTGAGAGCCGAGCTGGTGAAAGCCTTTTTGCTGTGTGATAGACAAACACATTAAAGAATATGAACTAAAAATTTGTTAATTAGTAATTAAGATTCACTAGAAGTTATGTGTTTTTATTTGTGCGTCTTATTTTGGGAGGAGGATGGCTTGTAAAACATTATAAACACCAGAATTTAAACAATACTACAGCAGCAAACAACTGTTTTATATGCAAAGATCTAGTGGTTTAATGGCGCCCTGAGCAGAGAAGTCACACCGTCTCTGTATGTGTTGCAATCCGACCTTCTCTGCTCCTTGCTCCTTGTTTTTGGTAACTGCTCCAGGCGCGCATGCGTGTTGTGCATGTGAGTCACTCCCTGTGACTCACTTCACGTTTATAAAGCATAGTGACCACACACACGTGCGATGGCACAGTGCAGTAGGCACATTCAGGTGAAAGTGACCTTCCAAACCACGTTCTTCTGCTAAAAAGGCCTCCGACAAAGATAGAGATAAGACCAGAGCCTAGGTTGACTGGCTATGGGGACTACCGGCTAAAATCCCGGTCAGCCAGTGGACCTTCAAAACATCCATGAAGTTTTTAAATTTTTATTTGCTCCATCAGTGTCTTTACTGGCCCTCTCTGTGTCTGTTGTTCATGCGGGTCGGTCCCAGTGGATAAGTACAAGGCTGAATTTCTTTCCCAGGCTAACTGTGGTCCAGAGCCACTACTGGTATGGCTTTTCCAAAATGGAGAGCCCTACGAACTGCGTAGGGGCTCCAACTTCACTCAGAACAGGTATTTCCTCTCTTCAATGTTAAAGTTACATGACATTGTTACATACATTGCCGTGCACTATAACACGACAATGCTATAGTGGGTTAATGTTTGTGGTTGGATGGTTGGTTGGTTTTTGTTTTTTTTTTGTTGTTGGCCAGAGGTACGGCCGAAGATACGAGATAAGAAGCATTTGTTTTGGTTCGAGACGCTGGTGGTCTTGTTTGACGTCTTGTGGCAGTGAATATCTTATATAGAACCTTTCAAAGTCTTAATTTAGTTTGTTTCTCTCATAATCACAGTTACATTTTAAAATTATTGCACTGATCACATTTGAATGATAGAGATAAGTCCTGTTTTGTTGAAACTAAATAGAAGTGAAAATGTTTTTCTACTGACTGCTTCCTTACAGAGCAATAGGACAAGCTAGCAAGGTTACGAAAAGTAGTCTAATGATGTCTGGCTGTTTATAGATTAAACAAATACGATAAAACACGTTAATTTGTGACCTTTAGTGGTTTAGCTTTAGCGGTTTAGCTTTTTAACTTTGGACGTAACCAGACTAGCTGTTTCCTACTGCATCCAATCTTTATGCTATGCTAAGAAAACGGAGCAGTATACGTAACAGAGGGATATGAAAATGGTATAGATCTTTTCACCTAACTCTTGGAAAAATTGAATAAGCAAATTTCCAGAAATTTTGGCAACTTTAAAGTCTGAGTATCATGTCTTTAGGAGAGAGAAAAGTTATTACAACATGCACTTCTTGACTTGCTCTCTTTACCTTCAGATAGATGACAGCATCCGTGCCAACACCCTCCATGGAGTAGAGTTTCAGATCCCCCTGGAAGTATCGGGCATAGAGCCTAGAAATTGGTAAACCATAGCCAAAACCGGCCTGGATAGGGAAGGAAAGAAATAGGTTTTAATTTCCCAGATGTCATACCATATATAACAAATGTATGAGCTAAAAAAGGTATGAAATGGTCACCAGGGGGTCAATATTGGTTTGTTTTTATGTGAGTGTGTGTACCAGGGGGACAGCTCCTGGCTCCAGGCTTGGTGTAGGGGCAGTGGAATACATGTAGTTAAACAGACGGTCTATCTTCCTCAGAGGAACTCCTCCTCCTCTGTCACTGATCTGAGGGAAGAAAGTAGGATAGAAGAAGAGAAAAACCAGGCAGATACAACATTTAAACACCACAACATTTTTTTTTCAACAAGGATGCTCTGCGTGTGTATTTGTGTCTGATTTACCTTTACGGAGAGATCCTCTTTACCCAGAGTGACTTTTGCCTTTACTGGTGGCAATCCCTCTTTACTGTTCTCATGGAGCTCCACAGTGGCCCTCATTGAGTTCTGCAAACACCCACAGAGTTAATTAAGTCAGCCCGGCACCAGTCCTTATAGAATTATAGTCACATTACAGTTTAATTACATTTAAAGAGCGCTGAACTAGTTAGGATGATGCCGCACCGCTCACCTTGAAGAGCTCAAACAGCATGTGGAACAGATGAGAGGGCACATACACCACCTGGATGGGCTTTTTAGGGGCCTTCACTGAAGGTAAAAAAAATGCATGGGTGTGAGAGACGATGACACACACACACACACACACAAAGCCTGTTCTTTTGAAGTCAAAGAGAAAGTAGACATTGTAATCATTATGGGACTAAATTTGGACTCCCAGGCTGCACCCACAAGCTCTAAATAGACTCGGCAAAAGAATACTGTGTTACAGCTGAGCAACAGATTACAGGGAGAAACGGCTAAATACATGGATGGATGGATTACTGCACAAAAGCAAAAAAAAAAAATTCATTACTGTTGAACTCTTCAATCTTGAGTTCAGGAGCAGCCAAGTAGTACTTCTCACACAGCATCTTGGCTGTGTCATAGGCATCTGATAAAAGAGGCAAAACAACATGAGTCACAGCAAGAAAAGGCAAATAATCTTCATCGTATACATTTAGATTCCTATGAGAGATCACTAATGTAGCTACTACTCCTGACTGGGTCACCGAGAGTGCAGCTTTGGATTTACGCTGCTGGAATTCCTGAAAAACTATGACTATGTCAACATACCACTCAGCAAAGAAGTGCATGGTTTTGTTTGATTTGTGCCACTGCTGTGAACTGCTGGTGTGATATAAAACCTTGATAACTCTGTTTCCCATAAAAACTACGCAAATATTTGCAGCAAAGTAAAAAAAAACAAATAAGGATACAAATTGATGATTTTGAGTATGACCTTCTTTAACTCACCACTGACGACTTCAGCCACACTGCAGTTAGGATCTATACTGCCTATGTGTTTCGGGTGAGCAGGGTTGGTGTCATTACCAAACAGGAGAGCTGAACATAAATACATGGAGATAAGCGTCAGCTGCAACAGACCAGGCCCTTCACAAAAGCCAATCAACTGCTAAGACATATAGTTCGCTTGTGAGATTAAAGAAATATGTTTTGGCGACTCACTGTGCTGGTTGATGAGCATGCGGAAAGAGATGCGATTGGTGTAAAAGCGGTCAAGGAAATATTGGATGTTGCTGCTGATGAAGGGGTCAAAGCCAAACCTCTCCTTGTACTCGATGACTCCCTGAGCCATGGTGGGAACCACGTCATTGTGGCGGTTACGGATCTCAATCAAGAGCTCCAGGAAACTAGAAATAGAGAATCGAACAGGAAGAGATCGATGATTAGATTAGACTGACAGTGAGGTCATTCTTATTATTCCCAAACAGTAGTGCCAAATTCAAAATGAAGGAAAGACAAATTCATCAAGGAGGTAATGCTTTACATTCAATTAGAAAAGATTTGGGATTCTGAAAATCTGTCACCTTGTCTGCAAATATACAAATCTGACTCATAATATACTTTTTGTTTTGATTTATTAATTTAATCTAATTATTTGATGTTGCTGCTGTTTTGATTCTTCTCTCCTTCTGTCTTTTTTCTTCCATTCCCTTATTCATTTATTATTATGAATTTATTTATTTATTGTTGGGATCAGGCAAGTAAAAAGTAAGGAAAAATATTTCTTTCATATGTTGGATATATTCTGTACAGTTGTTGTCTGTTAATAAGAAGATCTTGAATTAAGAAATATCTGCATTGTGTCTATAATTCCTCGTTTGGCTCAATTTTTTTTTTTCTTATTTCAAAATCCCAGTAAAATACTCAGTCAGGATGAGTAGCAAACTTAAGATCACTGTTCTTTCATTGAACAATTCTTGGAAATGTGTTCTCTAAACAAACTATTATTATTCACAATCCTGCCCGTGTTTGTCAGCCATGTGTGGCTGTTTATCACACGGGCATTGTTATAGTATAAATACACAGCGTTACCTGTAACGTCAGCAGAGATCTGTGTGTACTAAGGGGATTAGCTGCGGTGGAGGAGGGACTCTGGACATAAAGACGTAAATCCAGTATACAACAGCTGGGTGTTTCACAAGGCTGCACTTACATACACTGTGCTTTTATTTATGAATCATTAAACAAGGCAATATTAACTCACTCATTCAGAGCGTGTGGGTCCTCTGGCTTTCGATTCTCATAATCCAGCAGCTCCACAAAACTCTGCATGTACCTGATAAAGCAAACAAAGGGCAACTTTCACACACCCTTCTTAACACTAATACCACAATAAACCTTATTGTCTGGCAGCTATATAAAGAGTATTGCTGGAGGAAGTGTCTTACCATTTTTGGACCAGTCTAACGGAGGGCTGACCGAGCAGGTTATCAGGTAACAGGTTGACTTCTCTCATGGTGTTGGCGAGCCGCACGGGCAGTTCCTTACGCAGGAACATATAGGATGTTTTCTCACACGCATTGTTCGTGCCTGAGAGAAAAATCAATGGTATTTGTTGAGCTGCATGATTTTAAGTGAATGGAATATCTGGAGCTTCTGGTGTTTTTTTCACTGGCGGGAATGAACTTTTCCTGCCAAGAAATATATTTGGGATTTAGACTCTTTTCTTACTACAACTGGTGGCTCATGGATAAAAAAAATTCACCATTTCTTGTTGCCAGGTCAAAACTAAGATAACAAAAGGTATCTCTTTCAGTAAGAAAACCACATGTCCTCTTGGGCTTGTAAAACCCTTCAAGAACTGATAACATAATGAGTTAATTTAAATTACAAGCTTCCTTTTTTCATTTTCATCCAATGTCAATTATTTGTCAAATCAAAACAACTTTTCATATGGCAAGTTCCCTTCCCAAGCGGTAGGGAAAGTAAAGAGTACAAGCCAGCAGCTAAAATCCTGCTGAAGGCTGCAGTGGGTTTCAATTTCCAACCTTTAATATGATACCTTAAACTCCGCTATCTGGCTAGAAATGTATTTACTGTCTGTCCACCAACATTAGCCTGAAGTATACAAGGAAATCATAAATCTTGTTACCCAGCAGAGAGGGGGAGTCATAGAAAGGTTAAGGGGATTTATGTCCTTTGATCCAAACAGGAAAAACTAAATTACGGCGGTATTATCTTTGATGTCTTTCTCCAAAATGACCATGTGTACGCCTACTTTGCATTTTTTACATCCATTACTCAACCGTGATGTAATTTACAGTGTGCACAATAATCCAGAATCTTATGCGTACATGTGAGTACTTACATGGATATAAACATATGAATCCTATTAAACTTCAGTAAAGAAAACCAGTAATTCCAGGAATTAGTCAGTTGGAGAAACTGCTTTCAGTTTCATCCAGTTATTAAAAAGGGAACAAAAGTTAAGTGTCAAACAACACAAAGAAACATTTGCATCTTTGGTTACAGGAAACCTGTTGTGAAGACATTTGTGTTGACCTGTAGTGACCTTAGAGTCTAACAAACAGGAAACAATATGATTCCATTTCATTATCTTAGGGTGAAACTTGATGATCTGTCAGAGCAAAAGGATGTGTCCTATCTACTCAGCTCAAATGAAAGGGTTCCCATGATTCAGCACTGCAAAAAGGAGGCCTTGTACATCATAAAATGGGGTAGAGCAACCACCAAAGAGTGACTCAGCCCAAGAATGACACACACACTCTGCCAATGCTGCTGATCCCTGCATGATGTCTCATTTGTTCCCTTTTGAAACACACCAATATCTTTTGCCCTACTGCTCTCTTGACACAAACTACTCCCGAGGAATTACTCGCTGAATACAAACAAGTGCCACAGGGCAGGCTTTCTGTAGTTCACATCCAAACCACAGCTGTGAGAACAAATTACGCAACTGAGATGACTGTGTTAATCAGAAGTGGATTAAGAAAAGCCTCGAGTGCAGCTACAAACACGCAATTAATAACTGTCATCTTGCATTTTAGGTCTCTTGACAGAGTCTAGTACAGCTATGGAGTCAACATCCAGAGTAAAAAATACTTCACATATAAAACAAGACCCTTCATGTAACTTTCATTTTGTGTCATATTGAACTACAATGATGCGCAGTCTGATTTTGCCTCTTAAAAACTTAAATACAACTATGAGTAAAATCTTGTTGAGCAATAAAAAAAACAAAACTGGGTAACATTAGTTGTGTTCACCCTCCACTGCATACGTGCTGTTGCTCCAGTCTGAATGAAAATACCTGCATGTATTCCACAAAGTGAACAAACTTGCAACAGAAAGCTGTCATGCAAAGTCATTTCCTTGCATGACACTGTTTGTGCAGTTGTGAGTGGGTTACTAAAAGTAAACACCAAATTGAAATGTCAGATCTGATCGTTACAAAGTATAACGTTTCATGGCAGCTTGAAGTACACTTCAACAATTCTATGAATATCCCGGAGCTTTGCCTGTGACACATCAAATACACAGAAATAGTGAATGAAATGACTAAATTAAGAGCAAAAACAAGGCCACTGCTTCTCTTCCTTTTCATTTCTTAAGATGACAGCCCTGCACTGCTACTTACCAAAATCCAAAAACTGCTTAATGGAAAGCGGGGACGGAGAAAATCTGGAGTAATACTCGATTTTGGGGTTAGTGTTTTTCAGAAGAGACACGAAGATCCTCATTTTGAAAGTTTAATGTTGCCTGGATCTAACCGTTAGAGTGAAATTCAGAAAAAACACGACCATTTCATCCCCGGCAATGTTGACACAGACACAGACAGCCCTCCTCTCTCGTCGGCGTCCACATTTGTCCCAGCCCGCGGGCCTCCGGTGGACACGAAACGACGCAATAAATAAATGTCCATAAGGTTACATGACAGGATACCAACAATATGCTCTCAAGAGGGCTTCCTGGACCTATTTTGTTGGACTTTCAGATCAGCTCGACACTGTTGAGCTAGTCGGTTAAAACTCTGACTTCCGGTTGCGTTTTTCAGAATAAAAACAATAAACTGTGGCTAAAGGCTGTAGGCTATAGCTAAAGCAACAACCAAAGGATGAAAAACAACCACAGAGAGACACAAAATAATCCCAAAGAGACACCAAACAATAACAGAGACCTGCAAAATGGCTCAGAAAACCCCCACAAAGGAAGATATCCACAATGACTACAGAGATTGTCTCATAATCTACATGATTTATGGCAAATATCCATGTTAGAAAAGGATAACCAAATAAAGGATCTAGTTTTATATGGATGTGGTGTGCAGTAGAGTTCATCTGTTTTATTGGAAGAATAATAGAAAATATTATATAATTTCTTGAAATAGGCCTTATGGAAAAGGGCTGCAGAGCATCTGGACCAGAGTCCATTTATCAACAACTTTTTAACATTTACCACTGCAGACTTTATGGTGTCTTATAGAACTTACTTAACTTATAGAACCTTTTTTAATGCAGTTAATTAATTCACCCTTGACATTTTGTAAATAACTTGCTAACATTTTCAACTGAAGAAAGCAGTTATTACCTGCTTATTAAACGATCTACCACAAGTTATAAAAAAAAAAAACTAAAAAAAAAACTAGCCTAAGCAACATAGAATGATGGCTATTTACAGACCATTTAAATTCAGAAGGGTGGACGACATACCCTTAGAGAATTAACTGCTGTCAAATTAGCCATTAAATTAGCCAACTAATTAACTACAGAAAAAATTTAAAAATTAAAAATTTCCATACGCCCGCAAAACATTTTATTTTGAAATATATTCTCCTAACTTCCGGCTTGTTTGAGCTAACCTGACGTTATGGGCAGCACGTACGTTCGAAAGTCTCGACTCAACCGCACTTGGCCTAGGCTTGTTGATGCACTACAGTGATTGGTTTGAAACACGGAAATGAGAAACAGCAACAATCCAATTGGGCGGAGGCGTGTCAATCAACATCGTTTACATTAGGTTGTCTATCTGCAGCTGTTTACTGTAATAGATAGTGTTACATTCAGACACAGTCAATGCGCACTACACGTAAAAAGTAAAAATAAATATATATTATAGTATGTTAATGCTCTACAAAATTTCTCATTAAATTACAATTCTCTGCACCGCAAACGAAAAAACTTAGTCTCCTCTAGGACTTAATGTGTGCATTTTCAGACTGAACATACACTATTGGTGGATCAACTATCTGTTATAGTACTAATAACAGGCAGGTGATGTTAATTAAGCACCAATCCGAAAGAGTTTGGCTGAAGTTGAAAGGTGTTTACAACATTTTATTTTCTACTGCCACCTAGTGGCACAAAATTTGAACAATCGAGTGAGTTAGGGAAGCTGGGTGGAAAAGCTGGATAATTCTGTGACAAATAACGCCACACAGAGTCATTCAGTATTTGAAATTTCATCTGAGGAGTAAAATGCTTAAATTGTACAAATGGATCATAGATCATAAAAAGATCAGTGGTTGTAACACAGAAGGCAAATACATTACAAAAATACAGTTTATTATAATGTATGCAACAATGCCTCACAAATAGAAAGAGGATATAAATAAAAGTGGTAAAACTTTAACTTTTGGGTTCCATAGGTTCACAGAAACGTTCCTGGAAAGGGCTGTGTAATTAAAACTGTTAAAGTGGTATGGATATCTGATTAATTACTGGAGTCTTTCAGTCAGAGCACAGCACATATGTATACTGAACATGTTTAAGTGTATAACGTACTTACCGGGTAGGAATGCAAGTCAAAATGTATGAAAAATACTTTTTTTTTAAATGATAAATTATGAATGAATTAATATTTAGTTGGGTTTAAATGCAGCAGATCTTTAAAAAAAATTGTCTTGAAATCAAAAACTGCTTATAAACTTAATTTAACTAACCCAGCAATTATTGAATGATTCTGTTATACTTAGTGTAGGCGCCACTTAATAGGTGTATTTTTTCTGCATATTTCCTTTAATTAGGTTAAATTTTGATAATATCTTATGTTCCTAGTTATTTGTTTTGTTGGTTTATTTCATTTAGTTCTGTTATAACAAAGCAGCACTATAGGCACCACAGGTTTATATTGGAAGGCAGCTATAGGACCAGCATTCACCTGATAGGATCTGTAGTTTTGTACCAGAGCAAGTGAGGCATCAGGACCTGTGATTTCTTTGGTTGCTTGATAATTAAACCATGTGTAGAAAATGCAAAAATCTGTATGGCCAATGGTCGTCTTTTGCCTGTGTACAATTCATTCCTATGATACAAATACCCACAACCCTTTCCAGGACACATCCTTGGAAATTTAAGGAAATTACAGAACTGTAAAATAAAGTACTACCATGTAAGCCTCTTGCATAAACATGTATGGTCTATTTCTTTGGTGAAAACAAACTGAAATGATACAAAGAGGACACAAAATAGGAACAAATCAAATATCAAACCCCAGATCACACTGAATAAAGTTGGCTACATGTGTCCTGTCAGACAAACAGTCTTCATCTGTGACCTTAATGAACATCAACAAGATTGGTTTACATATAATTCACATTTATATTTATTCATATTTACTTATATGATAATTGCAGGAATGTAAAAATGGCATATACGCACACACGCACACACACACACATACACACACACATACACACACACACCGTTCTCACGCAGACTCAAGCATTGCCATCTTGGTGTTTTCATTGTTGTCGGGTTCTTCTTCAGGTAAGGGGTCGTACTGTCGTCGGTACAGTAGCCGTGTTACCAGTGTGATGATAAACATCTCCAGGATCAACAGCTGCTGACTCATCACTGTGGGGCAGAAAGTAAAGGAGGTAGAAATGATAAGGAAGGAATACAATCAAAGAGGAATTCAAGGGAATTTCTCCTGGTGAACAAATGAATGCACGGATGGATGAATCATTGTTGATTGGATAAACAAACACATGGATAATTGGATTGATTGTATCAATGGAGGTTGACTCACTGTATCCTCTGGCTGCGGCGGAGAAAGGTGGCGTGCAGGCAATGGTGCCATTCAATGCTAAGATGTTGATGATAGCTGTCTGCAGCTGGCTCAGGATCAGCACCAGCTACAAACACACACACATTGATAACTATAACAAACACAATGCTGGAAAATCCTGTAAAAAAAAAAAAAACTTATGACAGCCCTATAACCTGACATCTTATGAGTAATGGCTGTTTACTTACAGCCAGCTTTATATTGTTGAGCTGTCTATCATGAGGTGTGTTAACAGCTGTTTGTGTGCATATATGCTCCTGCTGTGCCTTACCTGGTACATGGCGTACTTGGGGATGATCTTGAGTGTCCGTAGGGCAGTCCTCAGGTGCATGAACATGATTGCTACGGGCCAAAGGGCTATGATTGTCAAGATGCCCACAAATGGGTTGATCCATATAGCAGCTCCAGTAATTGTCAACTGAAATATAGTCACACACACACACACACACACAACAGAGACAGAGACTAATGAGACCCTGCTAAAAAAAAAAAAAAGTTATGAAAAACAAGCCACAATATTGTTTTTTAATATTTCCTACACTAATTCATTTGCCACCACGTTAGCTGGAATCCATAGAGTCATGCATTTATATTCTTATATAAATGTGAAGCGGCTGTCAGACGTAAACACAAGAGACAACACTACAAGTTGCTGCATTACCCAGCAAGTCTTTGTTGTTGCTGAAAGCACTGGGGTATAGCAGAAATAGAATAGTAAGCTAGTCAAATGAATTTTTTATCTATGTATCACCAAATCACAATAGAAGTCATCTCAAAACTGACACAAAGAACATCTGGCATGTGCCGAATGACAAAGCTTATATTTATATGAGATGAGGCGGCATTTTTCTTTCAGAGTATGGATCTGACATGTTTTTTTTAGTGAGTGAATCTCAGCTTATTTGGTGGAATACAAATGACTGCATTAAGCACGAGTCATTAATTCAAGAGTCATTAAGCATGAACTAATTACATAAGCTCATAGTGATTGTTTTAATTTCTTAATGGAGAGTAAAAGGGAGCCATGATACACCCTGTATTATTTCATTTATTAAATCATCATATTCATCATCATACATTAGTTATGAACTGAACATGTGTTTTTTTTTTTTTACCTGTATCATTAAGTGTTCGAGAGAACTATTGTGATTTATAAATTGTGAATAATCATGTTTGACTAATAATGATGTTTACACATTAACATCATTGCATTTGTATATACTAGTATCTATATTGAAGCAACATCATGACTGTAAGTTTCATACAGTAAATTTTAAAGTCTAGATATGTAATAATAAACAGTGGGAGTCTGGGCTGCGGCCACAAACTCATCTATTTTTATGACTCATCAGTTAATCGTAAAATGCTTGGAAAATAAATAGTACAAGAAAGATTTAGGGATACAATAACATGATGATGAGATGCCATTCAGAACTGTTACCAACTCACGTCAGACAGGTCAAAGGTCCCATTCGTCCAGAGGACAATGGAAAGGATGGTGAAGACAATTTTCAGGAGAGCAAACTGGAAGGAGCCAAGTTTGAGCAGGAAGAGAGAGCGCCTGGAGTTGGAGCACAGGAAACATGTTCATGGAAGCCACTAATGACAGAACAAGGTTTTATTCTCTAAAAACTTTTTTTTAAAAACTGTTGAAAGTTAATTTTGGAATTCACCATTGCCCTGAACCTATCCCGCATTATTATTGCAGGAAGTTTTGAACAATTCAGAAAAGCCTTGGGGATGTGTTTACTGTCTTTATTTGAATGGTCTTACATGGAAAACAACAATATTGATTGTCCCTGCGAGGTTCATTATACCTTGATATGGTGTTTTACCAGAAAGCACACATCATCCTGAAAGCAAACTTTTGATAGGAAACTGGGCGCTGGATCAAAAGGAAAGGGCTCAACTCGTCCTGACTTGCATCTCATCAACATCCATGCTGTGTGCA